ATGTAAGGCATCTCTGAGCTTGGATGTCATCCAAGCCAGTGCCTTCAGCACCTGCTGCTTCACTTTCTTGTTGCAGTCCTGAATCCTAAGGACAAAAACACTGAAAATCTGTTAAGAAAACAAACATGACAGCTGGATTAAAATGTCTTTGTTTCAAGAAGGGATGTGGGAACAAGCACCCAGCAATGTAAAAGATGAATGGAATCCTTTCTGTCCGCTCAGTGCTTGCTAGCACAATTTCACTCCTTTCCTGTACTCACTGTAGTGGTTGCACAACCCCATGCTGCTTAAAAGGATTTCCGTATTTTATGAAGAGGTTTGGGTGGGGACAGGATAGATCATGTGCTGTTTCTCTTTACCTACTATAAATCTTTAAATAAATCCCATCTTAATAATGCAAAATAGTATTTTTGGTATAGAGGTATGAAATCATGATGCCTCTCTTTTCATAGGCTGGTCTCAAGTACTGAGGGTAGTTCTGATTTTGCCAGAACTGGGACTGGAGGGCATCCAAGTTTTGTTTGATCTCAGAACCTGCATCTGGAGAAGTGCAGGGCTCTTTTGACTTCTCCAGGACCCAGACCATTTGCCTAGCTAACAGGCAGACTTCTGAAGTTTACTGTGCTGTGCAGTACTCCTTAGAGCAGGTCCCCTTGACAGCCATGTTAACAGGCACCATCTTCTGGAAAAGGGAAAAAAAAACAGCTGCTGGCAGGAGAAGGAAGATCTGTCTCTAACCAACTTCCTCCTCTTTCCAAAGATAACAGTGGCTCCCGAATAAGGGTGAGAATAGTCTTTCTCAAGCAGTAAAGGGATGAGGATGGAAGCAAACCAGAATGCAATGGTTTTCCACTGCGGCTGAAATCACAAAGCTTCTTCCAGCTACACAGTGCATGCAGTAGGGCAATATCCCCAGAATACAGACAATTCATGCACTAATTATGATTGCCTTGTGCATCTTTTGCATAATAGGCAATTTTCTTGGCATTACTACTTCCTTCTTCTGTTCCAAAGACTTTATTTCTAGTGACACCAGTTCCTTCATTGCCCACACATAAACAGGCTGCAGATCAACAGTTCATTCCCAGGAGCAAAATGATTCAGCAGAAGAAGAAGGAGATAAAGAAAGATTAGGCAGGTTTAATCTCACAAGAACAATCTCAGTACTTGCATAAAGGAGACATTTCTCCTGCCAAGCATTTACTTAATGCCTTATTGTTGCCATAACATCTCCCAAGTCATGTGAGAGAACAGACTGTTTCAACTACTTCTCAAATTTTTGATGACTCATGAATATACTCAGCATCTTCTGTCCATAACTTCTAACACAGGAAAGAGAGAATGGAATACAGACTATTACTGTCTTTGTGAATAAACAAAGGAAGAGTGTTAATAGAATAAGCTGATACTTTAAACTCATTATGTGCAACACCTTCATGAGAAAGTATTACCTATTCAGCAAAGAGTGAGATTTACCTCCACTTGTCATCACTGCTCTATGCTGTCAGCTGAACACAAGAGGCAAGAAGAGAACCCAGGGCAACAGGAAAACACAATTTCACTCTTACACTGTGGGTACGCTTCTGTGGGATCAAAGAATCCAGTGGGACAAGCAAAAGATATCTCCTGATGTGCTGTCAGGGCTTATTTGCAGTCTTGCTGCCATTACACAGTAATTTACCCTTCTTACTTGTGGAGAAGCCAGGACAGATCACCTCACTCATGCTTCCTATTTATTATCCTGTATTACAGGTATGCAAATGAGCAGCTAGTTGCCCATGTGTTCTTGGCATCTATCCATGGGAATTAACATTGCTAACCAAATTAAAGGGGTTTGTTGGTCTTTTGGTACAGTTATGCTAATAGGAAACATTGACAAATAACCAAACAAAATTATTTTACTATTCTGAACTCAGCTATTCTCAATATAAGAATTACTTAGGTCACAGGAATTCAGCAATGGTTCTTTTTACTGGACAACCTCATGTTACCCAGTATAGTCATCTCCCCAGACAACATTGCCCACATTGCAAAGTAATGTTCTTAATATTGACTTTACTTTCCTCTCTTTTGTGGTTTTATCATTTATGGTCCAACAGTTTTCATATTTTAGGAGCTGAAATGAAGATCATCACCTTATGTCCTGATGACAATCCTCAGCAAGTTTCACCACAGTACGAACAAACACCTCAGCACTGTAATGTGTGCCAGACAGGAGCTTCTGGCCTTCAGTTTGCTTCATCGTGGTCAGTAGCTGTTCGGCTGCACACTTCTGCACCAGGATGTTGTGGTAAATGGAAACAAGAGAACAAACACTCGGGCAGAGGGAAAACAACGGCCAGAAGCACAGGTCTCAGCCCCATTGTGCTCCCTGTCATTGCTGGGAGAAGGAGGCATGTGTTCTCGCTGCAGTGTTGGACACCTGAGGAAGATTCTGTCCTCAGATAAACACAATGCTGGCATTGTCCAGAGGCACTACCTGCAAGGAAGAGGAGGAATTCCATCTCCCTGGACTAGCTGATACTCAATATCTGTAAAAAAATTAACTCTGAGAAAGAGGGAAATGGAAGACAATTCATGCTGGCTTTTTTTTTTAACTGAAGAATTTGCTTCAGTTAACCCATGGCACTTGGCCTGTGAAGGTGTCCATGAAGTGACTCACCACCTCAAGGCTAAGATGCAGCATAAATTTGACTAGAAAGCAGAGATCTAAGGACACAACAGACAAACTCCTCTTGGAAGTCGGAAGGAGCTGTGCCTGATGTGCATGCTGTGCCACACCCCACGGTTTCTACCCCAAATGCTCCATGACCCAGCAATCCAGCAATGAGCCTCCTTATGTCATAAGTTAATGGTATAATGATGATGCATGTTTTTTCCCAGCGTCTCTGTGGTCAACATTAAGAAATATCAAAGGGTGCTCACTGCTGGAATTGCCATTGTTCCTCTTCCCGCAAAGCCACAAGGCAGTATTACCACCCTTTACAGAGACTTTCACTTCCCCATCATTCACCACATCTAGGCAGTGTGGACGGCCTGTGAGAACAAGCAGGCTATAGCAGGGCAGGAGTAGGTCATGAGGAAGGGAGGCAAGCTCATCACAGTCTAGTGTCACTGAGTTCCCAACAGATGCAGGAGAAATTACCCTCCCATTATTACCCTTCTGTCTCCCATACAAGTTAAGGTGAAGCAGATCACTAAAACAACATACTGGATTTCACCAACCATGAGAGCAGTAATTGCTTGTGCAGGAGTCATGTTCCCCACAGTGATCCCCAGTCACTGGCTACTTTCTGAATTGACATGCTGCAGTTCCCCATCCTCTGGAGCATGACCTGAGTAACCTCATCCAACTCAGGGTCCACATGCTTCTTCATGGTCCTGAAGAGCTCTCCAAGAGTCTTGAGAGCAAGGAGAGAAACCTTCCAGTGGGGGCTGTTCACCTGGGGAAGTCATGAGGGGAGATGCAAGAATCACCTTGTAAGGAAAATCAGTTCCCATAGACAAGTGTCACAGGACAAAACAAGACTTCTCACTGTGTCCAGGTGCAACATAAGAGCACACTAAGAGCAGAAGACCACCAACACAATAAAACTCTGATACTGACTTCTTCAGTGGCCTCAGGTCCACTTCTACAGTACAATGTCAATGAGACTGCAGGCCTGAAAAATATTATTTCACCTAAGACAAAGTGTGCTCCTTAGCCCATAGCATACCCTGCTTTGATTTTAGGCCCTTTTGTTGAAAGCAAATCAGAAAATTAAGGCAAGGTCTACATTTACACTATAAAGGCACAATTTGTAATGAAGTTTGAGCACTCAATGAAGAAATAGGAAACACAAGCTCTCAAGTCTACAGACTAATTCACAGCAGTACCTAGAGTCTATCTGCAGCTCTGTCACCTCAGGAGAACCCAGGCTGCTGGACTCAAGGCACGCAAGGATCTTGGAGATCACAAGATGGTGGGGTTTTACAGTATTCAGTGCTGTGCCGGAGTGATCCCTGCTGCCAAAAGACTCTCCCCCACAAAGGTAAGGAATAAGAAGCATGTCACAATCATGTGCTCCATTTGAAAGATAACTTGAAGCGCAGACCAGTGGCTCTTTCTGCCAGACATGGTTGTGCCTGTTATGAATTAGTAGAACAAGAGAGGAGATTTTCTCAGAAAATGATATAAAACTCAGATAAGTGAAACAGAAAGGGCAGCTGCTGCTAACCCTGATCTCAGAGTAGCAGAATCTAAGTCCTGTACCTCTAAACAGAAAAGTCTCAGGATTCAAAGAGAGAATGGAGTCTTCAACAGAAGGGGTATTCAAGCCTCCAACATCATGAAATACTGTATAGAAGAACTGATTTTCATGGACATGGGCTAAGTCTTACTGTCTTCTGCAAGGAAGGCAGAATGGAATATATTTGGCAATCATGTAGTAAGAGGACAAGCAGCTGGTTCAGGCCACAGACAAGGGCCAAATTGTAAATACAGCCACAGATATTATTCAGGAGTTTTAGTTCAGACCTCTTTGATGACTGAGAGATGAGAGGGTGAAGCTGTGAGCCACTGCCACGCAAACCCCTCACCCATGGGCTGCACTGCAAAATTCCACTGGCGCACAGAGGCAACAGCTCAATGGAAAGGGCAAATTATCAAAAAGCACACAGAAGGTAAAGAGGAGAAGACACCATCAGGAAACACTGGAAACAAAACACCTACAGACAATCCTCCAGGAAGCTGAGGAGGAGGATGAAGTGGGAGGAAGCTGGGAAGCAAAAGCTGCAGTGTTTAATTACAGCTTGGGCAGAGACTTGGGACCTGGCAAATCACTTGATTAATGTCTCAGTTTCTGTTTTGTGCACTGCCTCAGAAAGACACCAAGCTCAAGGAGGAGAAAGACAGATGTTCTACCTACCAGTGAACACAGCTGTATGGACAGACAGGTCTTACGGACAGGTCACACAGCTGTTAGAAAAATGAGGCCTAAAACTCAGAGTGAAGGCAGACACTGAGCACACACACAAATGAACAAGCTCATATGTACTCTACGCCCCGTGGATGATGCACGTGGGACACAGTTAGACAAAATATTCTTGCCTCTGTGGTGACTGCCAAGGAAACACCATGAAGCCTCCTAAGAAGGACTTCTGAGTGGCAGATAGCCAGGCGTCTGACACTGAAGAGCCCCTTGGTCTTTTCCTCCCTGAAAGGCAGTTTCACCAAAAAAACACTGACTTTTCACACCACCAAATGACAAAGCTGCAATTACCAGGGTGTCAGGTCAAACAAAGGGAGGTGCTTCTCAAACAGAACTTAATTAAATCATGGAACTCGTTGTGACAGAATGCCGTGGTGGACAAAAGCAGACATAAATCCAAAAGGCAAAGAGATGGTTGCAGAGTAAATCGGTTAATTTGTGGCCGTGAAACAAGAGAGCCTTTCTGAAATTCATGGCACACAAGGTCCCTGTGTTGCTGCCTCCTAGAAGCTGGGAGACTATGCTGTGTTTCTGTTTCTTGTACCCTCCCTGTATCATGTCCCTGGGATACACTGCTCTCTGGTTGGTATTGTGAGCTACTGGGACTCATGTGCAGAAGGTCTGATGCTGGTGCTGCTGCTGCCAGCATTGGAAACACAGATAAATCCTTACTCAGTCCCACCTGGGCCAGTGACCTGAGGCCACCACATCTATGAACTCATGACCACTTCCATTCTGCTTCTGACTTCAGCTAGCAAATCGTCTTGTTCCACAATTTCCTCTCTTCCCTGAACATTACGCTTGCAGCTACATGGAGCAGAAGGCAAAACTAGGAAACAGTATGGGTGGGCTGTTGCTGTAACACTGCTGTGGACCAAGGCAAAGAAAAGGCTGCCCTCTCATCTTTATACTGTGACTGCTTTGGAGTGGTTTCACTACTTCCCTGTGGACATCTGGGCTCTGGGCTCAGAGACTCAAATAACAAACATTTCTAACTTTTCCTTTACACTGAGAAGAAGGAAGCCTGAACATGGGGCTCTCTTACCAGTCATCACTCCTGAGCCATGTGAGTGTGTCGAGCAGACCCTTTTGTGCATCAGGGAAGGGTCTGGCTTCCTCGTCATCTCCATGCTCTGACAACTCTCCACACTCTAGAGAGTCCGGAGCAGTGGCCGGCACTGGGATTCCTGTAAGAGAGAGAGAGATGGTCAGACACCAGCACTGCATACCCCGGGCCGAGGCACTCCACCTCCAAGCAGTCTCCAACCCCAGCTCTCAGCCAAGAAAATCACTGGGCTGCAGACTGGCATTGACCCAGAGACTTCCCTGCTCTCTGGCTCGTTGCTTGCCCCAGCACCCAGCCATACCCCAGACACCCACAGCTGAGCACCCGCTCCTTGTGTAAATCTAAACATGGCACACACAGAGCCAGCTCCCCTGTTCATACAGGTGCCACAGCCAGCCTGCAGATTCAGAGTGCCACAGAACTCATGGTCACTGGGAGGCAGTGGTGCCCAGCAGGGCTTGCTATCCCAGGAGTACCTCCCTGTAGCACCTCCCTGTTTCCCGGAGCACTGAGGACAGAGACACCCAGTGACCTTCTGAGGAAACACCTCCATCTGCCCTCAGTGAGCACCAAGCCCCAGCCACCGAGTCTTGCTGCGCTTGGGCAAGTCCCCAGGGCGCAACTACTAGGGAACAGTGATACCTGACCTTCTAAACCCCACAGTGCCCATGTTTCCATTTACTTCAAATATCCTAGACAGCAGACAGCTGATTGCACATACATTTTAGCGTACTAGTGGGAAAGCAGCAGTTTATGGATATTGCTATTTTCTAAGCATTATGAAGATTGACTATTTTAGAGGTACCTGCTGGCTGTATTTCAAAGATGCTGAGATGACATTTATCCATCATCAAATGTACTTGTTTGCAAACTGTGCAATGCCTAAGCTTTCTCTTGTGGAAAAATGCAATTTTTGGTCTCTATAGTTGTGACAAAAAAACCTTCCAAACGTGAACTGAGAATATGAATATGTAAATATAGAAGCAAACTGTTAGCAAACACTCTCTCTTGATGATAAATACACAACACATAAGAAAATTCAGATGACAAAATTATTTGTAATGGAACCCACTGGACATCAAAAGCACCACAGGTCAACAATTTCATGCCTTGCACTCAAAAGCTCATTTTCTAAAGTGTAGATGAAGATATCTGAGCTGTCTAAAAGTTTTAAGTGTATAAGTGTTGCACAGAATCTAAATGAACAGCTATGGACTCCACAGGGGTTTATGCTACCGTGCCTGTTGTACAAAGTATAGAGGAACTGTAAAATCAAAACAGATGGGGATTGATTTGGATGTCACTGATGGCACTGTCATGGACATCAGTGATGTCATTCTACAAGCATGTAGAACATTCTGTAGGGAATACAGAGTATCCAATGCTCAATGTGAACGGACAGCCACGTCAGGCTTCTTGTGATCAGTTCTGAAAATCAGAGTAGCATCACCAGAACTTTCAGAGGATCATTCGAAGATTTTTTTAACTCCCTCTCCTCAGGATCATAACACGAGGTAGGGTCCACACAAAGGAGAGATGAGAATCACTATGGACTCACCATCTGGCGTACATTTAGTGCAGGTAGGGAGCAGCCTGCGAACACCAGGCAGCCCTTCTCCTATATGTCATCTGCTATGTACAGACACCTTATTTGGGTGGAGTGACAGAAGAGGCACTGCTTGTTCCCAATTTTCATTGCAGGCCCTGGGATGAGAGGCTTGCAGCTGTTAAGCACTTCGAGGTTCAACAGCATGATTGTACCAAGTCACTAATTCCCATGCAGAGACAACACTTGCTGCAATCAATAGGAGAGAAGCTGGCTGGAGAGCCAGACAGCAGCACAGGCAGAGAGGGCTGAGGCAGGAAGTGGCTAATTGACTGGGGGAGTACACATCTGGGCATGGTAGGCACAGCATGCTAGACTGCACCAGAGCTCAGCCCTGGAGTTACAGATGCCTCCTAGCACCAATGTTGTATCTGGGACTTTTGCTATGGGCAAAAACTCAGGCTTACCAGTGAATAGGCAGTTCAGTTCCTACAGGCCAGGGTGGGGGAGTAATACCATCTGCAAATAAGCAGCCATGAGAGGTAATTTGCTGTTTCATAACACGCACGGCCAGTTATTGCAGCTGTTTTTACTTCCTTGCTTCTGAAGGACTCAGATGCTCCCTGAGAACAGGAGTCCAAAAAAGTCATGAACACAAGTGGGAGAGACATTGGTCATAACAAATCAAAAAATTGAGAATGGGAGGGCTGTGAGATACAGCAAGAAAGGGAACAAAGGCAAAGCAGGCTCTCCCATTTTACTTTGCAGACTTGCTTTCACTCACATTGTAGTCTTTGCTTCTGTGCTGCCAAGCATGCACTTTGCACATGTTCACTGATGTGTAACTTGCTCTGCTGTGCAGATCAGCTCTAAATTGGACTTCCCACATAAAGAAGGCTTCTTGCACAACCTGAGCACTATCTCCCAAATGGTGACTTCTTCACCAGGGAAACCACTCAAGCAATTGCTCTGCAGCTGTCAAATGTAGTCCAAAGAGAAACCACACCCCAAGAGGGAAAGATTATTATTTTCAGTGACAGTTTGTGCTACGCACTGAACAGTCACTGAAAAGAAAGCCTGCTCATTCCTGCCCTTAGCCCATACCCTTCCATTGCTGTCCTTTGAGTTGTCACCACTCTGAAGGTGAGGGCTCATGAGATGATCCTTCTTCTTGGTCTGGATAGGAAGGAGATGTAATGGGGCCAGAGGTTCACGTAATTCTCTGTCAGGCTTCATGCCACCACCAACATGATGCTGGAGAACAGGCAAGATGGGTTCATGAGCGTGGAGCCCTGATAAGACACGCATATAGATTGTGCATGAGAACAGCGAGGTACATATAACCTCTCCAAAAAGATGGGGGCGGGGGGGGGTGAGGTGTGGAAGGGGTACTGCCATGCTGCACTGGGAGCAGAAATTACTTTACTTTTTTGCTCATCAGACTAAAAAACATGGTTTCTGGTTTCTGGTGAGCACTGTGATGGATAGAGAAGAGCAGAGAGATGGTGATGGCCCTTGCCAAAAAGATTTTTATCTATTCCTCTCCATTCTGATTTTAGTAAATGTCCTCTTTTTCCCAGTTATTTGTTAGTTATTTGGAAGAAGTAACACTGAGCTAAGGGCCCTAGCACGTGTGGTGACTTGCACAATGGAAACCTCTCTTCATTACTCAGCATTCAGTTTAGGCTTGTGCTATCAGAGAATGGATAGTTCCCATCCTGCATAGGCTGGATCTTTTTTGTCTTCCTTTATAAATGGGAATATTCACAAGGACATCCTGTCACACAAGGTTTCACTATGTCTCCCCATGCAAAAATAGGCAATGATCATGAATGTACTTCAGATATCAAAGGATTTGGTTCAGAAACTGTTGCAAGGGAAGCTTCTTCTCCTTCAAGTGTAGGAGGAAGGAGTGGGAACATTTCTCATTTCATGCAAAATGCCTCATTTTTCTCTAATCTTTGTGCCATTGGTGTGCAGGGAAATGAAAGGTACGAGCACAAGGTAGAGGAATGTTTCCTTCTCCTGCTGTGCTTTCCCAGGGCCCAAGGTATCCCTCCAGCTCCTGCCATTCATAACTCCATGCTGAAGCCATTTTTACCGGATCACCAGAGCACATTTCCCAGTGACTGGGCTCTGGGGAAGCTGTCTGAGCACATCAAGGAATGGAAAAGAGTTACAGGATGGTTTTCAAATGAACTTCCACAGTGCCACCCACGTGGGTCAGGATTCCTATGGTCATTTTAGGACAGTCGTGCTCAGCACCTACCTAGAGGTTTAAGGGTCTTCTCTTCACCTCTGCTGCCTGATCTTGGCCTTAAGAAAATGGAGAATAATAGAATATATGAGGAGACAGAAAGAAAGGCGGCACGTAGCATTAAAGGAGGCAAACTTTCTTAGTGTTGTCATTCTGATGAAGGGGGAAATGCAGCCTGTAAAACCAACAGCATACAGAGCTGACTGTCATTAAACTTTCTGTTGCTGGAGTCACACAGAGCTCATCGAGCTCCAGCTGAAACACAGGAGTCACTCTTCACTTTGGGCCCTAACTGTCCAGTTCTGCTCTCTCTCCTTTTGGAGCTCAGTGCCTCTTCCTGGTTCATGCATCCTTTC